TGGTACGATTCAGGAGTCACGAGTCCGAACAGATCGACATTCTCAGAGAACCACTCTGCCAAGGTTGTTCGGGACTCTAACCCGCCTTGGACTTATGCCAATGGCTCTCCGCACATCCTTACTACCTCCAGAATGCACGCCACTGCTCGCGCCCCCTGCCTGAGTCGAGCTACTAGAATTCATGGTCGGAACGACTTATCCGGCCAGCTAAGTGTTAGGTTGCGTTCAACATGACATGAGGACGTATAGCGTATAGGTCCTTAAACGACTCAGACGGAGTCACTATGTTCAAACCTACACAAGACCCCGCCCGATCTTAATTCATTATTCACATGGTTCTTTTCCACAATAGCAAATATAGCCAACCGTGATCCACCTCATCCTAAAGCTCACAGGTGACAGGAAATCACCTGACTTCTACCACACTAAGCATGGCTAAGCATTTAACCCGTTCCTGAACTTAAATAGGATTCCAGTGCGATATCTGGACAAGGAAGGATATATATAATGCAGCAATTGGTTCCAACCAATTCCTATACTTAATGCATCATCAACAATAAAAGGTACTCAATGTATTTGTGAAAGCATGGGAGGCTTAATATGCTCCGGGGCTTGCCTTTCAGGAACGAGGAAGGCTGGTGGTCAGGGCACTCAGGCAATTCCTCCGCGGTGACTGCTTCGTCGGCTTCCTGCACCTCAGGTTCCTCCTCCTGGTTGGCTCCCTTGAACTCCAGCAACGTCACTCCCTCCGGCACACCTATTGCATGAATGCGCAAGATAAATATCACGGATGCACATGAACGAATGTCAGGGATGCTCGGGGAATGCGCATGTTCGCTGTAGTTTGCATATTCCAACTTAAGCCCTATTCAAATCACTTTACTTACCAAGTTTATACAACCTAATGTATAATTGCTCATCTTCAGTTAATGACCTAGCACCTGCACCTAAGCATATTCTCAAGTTAGGCTAACCCCTAAACAATCAACGAGAACATTGCATCAAGCATACACTCAAGCATTTGTATTTCAGCAAAATGAAGACTATGTAGCGGTACAGTAAACTAGCCATAACTGGAGATTTATAAATCCAATTGACATGCAACAAGACAATTTGGAAAGCTTATAAAATTGTCTACAATTCATTTTTAGACCTCAAAGCATGATTCAACACTTTGCCAGGTTGAATTCTTTGATCAACAGAACTTTGTCCTCCCAAGACAGAGAGTAAGCAAAACTGGAACATAACTTTAAACAGCTGTAGTTTCTAAACTACTGGGCCAAATGCCCTCAAATTTTGACAGGAGCTATATACATAAATTATCTACAACTCTTGTGTTCATCACATTCACAGAAAACCAAAATATCATGGGGAACTTCCTAAAGTCCCCAGATCTGTCCAGAGGGACATGATGCAAACGAAATAATTATTAACTTATGATGTAAACAAATAATTGGACAAAACTAACTCTACTCACATATCACTTATATCACAAGAACATCAGAAAGTAGGGTGTTCATCCCCAAAACATTTCTTTTAATACCTTTCTTAATTTATTTAATTAATTAGAGAAAATAGTAAACATATATGAAAACTACACCATTAAATCTACAAAAATTACAGTAGACACTACATGCCCTAAGTAGACTATCATAAAAATTTCACACCATTTGAGTAAGTATAACAACCAACACAAAAATGGTAAGGCAGAATGGCTTAAAATGGCATAATTAGGAAACCTTAGTGAAAAGTGTCAAGCAACAGATTTCATATTTTTCCTAGCATACTTAAGGTACTAAGATACTACCTACCAAGTTTCATGGCCATAGGATTCCTAGATAATTTACAAAAATTCACACAAGTATCCACCAATGATAAAAGGAAAATCTATAACTCAAAAACTACACATGCAATGACTCTCAAATTTTAACCAGAGCTTCTACTAAATAATACTAGCTTACCCACAAAATTTCACAATTTTTGGATCACAGAAACTCAAGATATGATTTAAACAAGTTTGCATGCATTCAAAAACACTTTTCAAGTTCCTATTTAATTCATCCAAAATTTCTACATAATATGCTCAAGACATATTTTTCTTAAATACTAGACCTCACAGAGAGTCTAACAAAATTTGAATCACACCATTTGGATCTACACATTTGGAGTTACGAAATTTACAAAACAGCATTCAAAACTGGAAATTTAAACTATCCTATGGAACCGGCAGTCACTGACGCGTGGGACCTGCCTGTCAGCCGGACCGGCTTGTCAGTGACACAGAACAGGGGAGACGGCGTGCGACGGCGCGGCGGTGGTCTAGCTCGCCGACGGCGAGGACTCCGGCGACACCGAGGACACCTACGTGATCTATGTGATGCGGTGAGTCGATTGATGCTACCGTCAAGACCCAAGGTTCAACGGAGGTGGCTCGTTGCCGGTGAATGCGGCACGACAGAGCTCCGCACGCGAGGCGCCGATGACGGTGAGCCCTTGCTGCCTCATCCGAGCTCGGTATGAGCTCCATGAGGTCACTACGAAGCTTTCCAAGCAAAGAGAGGAGGACGAGGAGGTCTCGGTGGTGGGTGGCCATGTGAGCTCCGCTCCGGCGAGGCGCGGCCACGGAGACGGCGGCGGAAAACGGCCAATGGCCCTCACCTAAGGCACGGATGGCTCGGCTAGGCGGTCGGTGACGTATAGGAGGACACGGCGGAGCTGTGGTCGAGCTAGTGGTAGCGTTTTTGCGGTGGCGAGCGAGCTAGGCGACGGCGGAGCTTGCTCGGCAATGGCGGAGCCTGCGGTGCTCTGTTCCTGTTCGCGGGGGAGGCGAAGGAAGTGAAAAATGGACTGGAGAGCTGGTCGGGCAGGCGGGTGGGGGGTTCAAGTCGTGGCCTGCAGCGCCAGGACGGCCGCGGCGCGTGGCTGCGCGGTCAGGCGGCCGGCGACGAGTGTCCTCCACGCAGCCGTCGATTTCTGAAATCGGTCAGACACTGTAGCTCGCCTTTTAGTTAACCTTCGACGCCTGACAGCGATGATTGATGATCATGAAACTCCAAATCCGTTGATCATCGGCGAAAACAGTCGAGATATAAATTGTAGCCCTAAGTACCAGCTACACTTTATGTTAAATGACCAAGACCTAATTCTCAATGGATCATGAGTTGTATCAAGCCAAAGTTGGCTCGATCAAACTGGAATTGTATTAAGGACTTAGAAATTTTTTCAAATATTGTATCCACCTTCAATGCTGACTTGTGGGTCCTTTTTAAACATGTTGTGCACATTTTCATGACTTGGCTTCTAAACAAAGTTTGTTCCTTATAAAATTTGCTACAACTTTGCTTTAGGTTGCTCAGACATGCAAACATCCTAAGCTACACTTTTTAAACAGTCAAACAAAAGGGTTTAGGGGTCAGAATTGGTCAAACCATGACTTGGGAACCTAATTAGTCAAAATGATCAACATGAACAATGTTCCAAATGACATTCTAGGTGCAACTAAGTTACTTAAAAGAATTTTTAGCCACACCATACATTGGTCACACAAGAATCAAGCAAGGTATGTACTGAAACAATAAAAAACACATGAAATGTTACATTTGTTTCATAGTCATGTTTCCCATGTTTCATGATCTTTTGCATAGTACTAACTAACCATGTTTCACTAAAGTAGGTGACATGTTGCACTTGAGTGTTGCACACTATTCATTTCATCAAACAAACACACATAAAATATGACAATATGTTGCAATGTTTCACAAGCATGTTTCATGCAATATAAGCTCATGAATAGATGAATGATGCTCATGTTTATGAAATGCAAGTGCAAATGTGAAAGCCAAACACCTGAGGTGTTACACGGGGCGTGGTTTCATGTGAGGGGCGGGACACTCGGACGGACCGAGGTCTGTTTGGACACGCCCCTAAAGCCGAACGTCCGAGCGTTAGATGCGCGAAAGAAAAAAAACGACCACAACGCCTGTAGGTCATGGGCTCGAAACACAAAGACAGCCAGAAATAGAAACCTTTTATTTTATATTTTATTAAAATCGCCGGATGCTGGGCCATCTGTAATCTTGCCCTCCTAGCTGGCGAACTTCTCATTCGTCCGTACGTGCCCCCACCTGTCCATCCCCGAAAATTCGAACGGCCAGAGGCAATGGCAAACACGCACGGGCACGGCTCCGCAAACGAAAATCTCCCGCCCTGGGTGGTGGGGTGTGCACACGCAAAACATCCGGAACGGACGCGCCTGCCTGCTCGTCCGCCGGCCGCCACCGCGCAGCGCGATCGCAATCGCTTCAGCTCATCCCACCTGCTTATTTCGGCTGCGCCTCCACGCCCAAATCGCGCAAACCCGAACCTCTTTTGGCTTTGGAAACTATCGCCGCTCTGCATCCTGAAATCCAAATCGCGCAAACCAGAATCTCTTTTGCAAAGTATAGGTGTTAAGCATGACTGTAGAAACAATCGATGCATCTCTTTTGGTTTTGGAAAGTACTCCAAAATCAATTAGCTGTAAGCATGATTGTAAAAACGATTAGCTGCAAGCAATGATTCTAGAGATTTCGCCAAGATTCCAGCGTCATTTTCGAACAAATCCCCAACCTTTTTCTAAATCCAACAAAATCAACCAATCTAACAATTGAACAAAGCCGATTAGAGTTGCAGTCAAATGTCCACACATAATGCAGTGTTAGGATCCTTCTAAATCCAACAATCGACAGAAGACAGAAATCATGTACTGTTATAGCTTAACTTGATGTTCATCATATCATCATACAGGCAGAGAGGAGCATGACGACTGATCGCACACAATCAACCATCCCAGGTTTTTACAGACGACAGACTACTACCGCTGATACTCATGCCGAGGCTACTGGCGAATCTAGAGCTACTGACAATACTATGAATGGATCAAAATCCAGGTAGAAAGGAGAGGGGGGAAATCTATAGTTGCAATGGGGAGCGAGGGTCCCGCTGGAGACCAGGCAGGCAGCCTACTTCTTGGCCTTCCTGGCCGCACCCTTCCTGGCCGGAGAAGCAGCGGCGGCCGCCTTCTTCAGGGTCGCCGCCTTCTTGGGCGTCGTCGCTGCCTTCTCTTTCTTGGCAGCGGGAGCAGCCTTCTTGGCTGCCTTGGCTGCGGAGGCCTTGGTGGAGGTCTTGGCAGCCTTGGGAGGGCGCCCGCGGGGCTTGGCCGCCGCGGCAGCGGGAGCAGTCTTGGCCTTAGCCTTCGGCGACGCCTTTGGTGCCTTGGTCTTGGCGGCGGGCTTGACGGCCTTGGGCTTGGCGTCAGTGGCAGGGTGGGCGGCCGGCAGCTTGAAGGAGTTCTTCACCTTCGTCAGCTTGCCAGCGGCAGCAAGCTTCTTCAGCTGCACTGTCAGCTGCTTGCGGAAGTTGGTGGGAAGCTTGCCGCCGTGCTTTTCCTCGACGTACTTGCCGATGGCCACCGAGCTCGACCCAGTCCTCTCCTTCAGGACAGCAATTGCCTCTGAGATCATCTGCAACAAGACCCCCAAAAAAATGCATCTCAGACTCGAGATCGAATTCGCGAACATGAAAAAAAAACCAGCGATAAAACCAATCCAACAGATTCCTCATCAAAAGCGCACAATCAAAAATTCAACCGCTGCCGGACTAAACCACGAAGAACAAGGAATCAGCTCGCAACTGACTAAACCACTGGCGCTCTCACCTCAGCGTAGGGAGGGTGCGCCACCGGCTTCTTCGCCGCGGATGGCTTCTTCTCCTTGGGCACCTTCTCCTTTGGTGCCTTCTTCGCCTTGTCGGTCTCCGCATCCACCCCGGTCACCGGGACCTCAGAGACAACAGCCTCCTCCGTCGACATCGCGACTACTGCTGCTACTCTCCCAACCCACTCAGGAACTGCGCGTGCGCTACTGCCTTTGCTGGCTGTGTCAGCGGCGGCGACGGGTGATGAGACCGGCGACGAGGACGAGGCCGCTTAAATAGCGGTGACGAGTGGAAAGGCTCAGGGACGTAGCGCCGCGCTGTGATTGGTCGAGCGTGTTCACACGCGGATCGCTACCCCGCCGCGGCAGCAGCTCCCCGCGGGACGTCGGATCCGCCCAGATCCAACGGGTGGGGACGCTCGTGGCGCGGTGGCTCGGATCCTGTCCCCCTGGGTCGACGCCAGCGGACGCGAACCTGTTCAATCTGTGCTTCTCTCCCGAATCCTCGAGCTCACCTCTCGCGATGTGATCCATCGTTCCCGTTGAAACTCAGCGTGTTTGTAGGAGACTAAATTGTCTTTCAAATGCGAGTGGTTTCGTCTAATTTGGTTGAGAATTCAGGGAGAAATTGGGAGTTCGGAGAGGACAGGTCTGTTTGGGGGAATCTCCGTGCAAGTGTGTTTCCCTTCCGACTATGTGGCACGAGTTCTCCAGTCATGGTCCACCGTTTTGAACCAAATTTCGTGCGCACATGGATCCCAAAATTATCTTTCGTATGGGAGTGGTCTCGAACGATTTGGTTGAAAATCGGACTAGAAATAGTCGATCAAGTGATGGTAGGTCTGAGCGGTGATTAGGACATGATTGAAATGCAGGAATTTTGCACGAATTATGTAGGAATTTTACAGGATTCAGTTTAATTTCACAGAAAAAAACATAAAAATAGGATAAAATCCCCTCATTCCAAACAGACCCTTATCGTGCGTGCGACTGTCATGATACAACGTGCACGGGCTCGTTTTACCGTGTGATTCCCAGAGTGCAAGTTCAGTTACATATATACACTAAAAAAAACTAGATCAAAGCTTGTCACGTGCTAGTATTTAGGCAGCATTATCAGAATCAAACAAGATATTGTCACGTACTAGTATTTAGGCAGCATTGTAGCATTATCAGAATCAAACAAGATACAGTGACTATTAGATTCGGCACAAAGGGAACAATGATCAAGTTGTATAAGCATATAGTTTTTCTTCTAAATGCCCAAATTTTTTCAAACAAAATGTGTAATTGGCATCATGATTCAAATTGAAAACAGCATCAATGTAAAATGGAAATTAGATCTATCAATCAAGAACTTATTTTTAAAGAAGTGAATCAGCGTTTCTTACTTCGATCATGCTTGGTGAGGACAGCGGATTTCCATGGCAAAGCTAGCATCTCCTGCTCTTTATCAGATGCCTTCGTGTAATCACCATACTTGAATCCTGGTTATCTCCTGTCAGAAACAAGATTTTCGAGTAGTTAACAATGCTAAGCGTGGCATCGGCACACAAGTATATACTATGAGAGGAATCAAGTGAACATATCAAATTGTAGAATATCCAAAGACAAAAGAAAAAACACCCATATATCCTTTATGATGGAATGCTCAAGTGACTAACTTAGCATATCGATGCTAGATATAGAATATTGAGAGGTCTTTCAAGCTTCTTTCTATACAAATACAAGCATGTCGGCTCTTAAGCCTACAGTGCTCATCAAAATAGGAGTCAATATTGTACCAAAGTTTGCCAATGCCGAAAGGTAGTGAGTAGTGACGTCATATTAGGAAAACGTTGAAGCATTCATGTTGGCGTCCCATGTAAGGCTTTCAACGTTTTGCTCCTTTTCTTGTAAGAAATACAATTTTTGCTCCTTTCTAAGCATACTAGTGTCACACACGGAGATGTTGTGACGAAGTTTAGTTGTTTCCATGTAGATTGCTGTGAAAAAAAAACATGACTAGGGAGGACACACTCACCCTAAAAAGAAAGAAAAAATAGCAATTTGTAATTCAATTCATGTCCTTCCTCGCCACCGGCCTCAACCACTTCCTGTTGCCCAACAACGCCTTTGAGGCTGAGCCACCTCACCCACCTCCCTCTATCACCCTCCACCCTACCATCCGCTGACCGAGGCAATTGGTCGCTCCCACTGTTGACCCTCCTTGAATCATCCTCCATCACAAGTCACATGTGTTGTCATTGCCCCGCCTACCTACCCACCCTGACAGTCATCCTAGCCATCCTCTTTGAGCCCTTTGTCCTTCCAAAACCTAAGATCGTAAGTTTCCAACCCCCAAACCCTCCAACGCGAAATCTAGGGTTTCTTCTTCAACTCTGATCAAAGAGCCCCTAAGTCTAGAGCCTCTTTTTCAACTCTACATCGCAAGATCTAACTTCTTCTCTTCAACACCAAACCACCATGCCTCCAATTTGGGAGTGAGAGAGAAATAGAGAGGGGAAGGATAAAAGAAGGTTCACTTGTCTAGGGATCTATCGCAGCCTGCAACCACTGCCACTGAAGACTGTGCTACTTGCCCTTGTCGTCATAGGATCTGAAAGGGAGAAAGAGTATGGATATGAGGGGAAGCGCGTCGATGACCCCATGAAGAGTTAATAGGTTAAGGCATCACTGGATCTAAGAGGCGTTGACTTTCCTTGGGGTCCGCCGTAGTCCACAGCCACTACCACCAAAGTTCATGCTACTTGCCCTCGTTGTCACCGGATCTGAAAGGGAAAGAGTCTGAATCTAAGAGGAAGCGCATCGATGACCATGTGAAGAGTTCATAGGTTAAGCCATCACCAAATCTGAGATGTTGCTTACCTAGGGATCTGTTGTAGTCCACAGCCACTGCCACCGAAATCTATGCTACTTGCTCTCGCCATCACCGAATCTGAAAGGGTGAAAAGTTTAGATCTGAGAGGAAGCGCATCGGCGACCCTATGAAGAGTTAGTAGGTTCAAACATCACCAGATCTGAGAGGTTGACTTGCCTGGGGATCCGTCGTAGTCTACAGCCGCTGCCATAGAAGTCTGTGCTACTTGCCTTCATCATCACCGGATTTGAATGGCAGAGAGAGTTTGGATACGAGAGGAAGCGCATCAGTGACCCTGTGAAGAGTTAATAGGTTAGGGCATAACTGGACCTGAGAGGTGGACTTGCCTAGGAATCCATCATATTCCACAGTCGCTGCCACCAAAGTTTGTGGTACTTGCCCTCTCCGTCACCAGATTTGAAAGGGAGAGAGAGTTTGGACCTAAGACGATGTCGTCGGTGACCCAATGAAGAGTTCATGGTTAAGGCATCATCAGATCTGAGAGGTAGACTTGCCTGGGGATCCATTGTAGTTCAGAGTCGCTGCCACCAAAGTTTGTGCTACTTTCCCTCATCGTCGTCGGATCTGAAAGGGAGAGAGATCGAGTTTGGATCCGAGAGGAAGCGCGTTGGTGACAACATGAAGAGTTAATAGGTTAAGGTGTGGGTTCTACCAGATAGGAGGAAGGCTAAGCATGCGATCGGTCGCAATTAAGTCTTTACCAAATAAAAGGCATATGATTTCTATCCCATATCAAATGGGCACAAAAAACTTATCTTGACTCATTTGTATGTTTGTATATATTAATTTAGAACTCAATTAGTGTTCCTAAATTTTCTTAAAACATTATTTGAGTTCGGTAAAGACTTTTCATTAGGAACAAACCAATACTCCTAGAGAAGTTTGCTTATGTATCACAGTGCACTATGCCACTACCTATCTACTATATGCATCATCACCCTAACAAGAAAACCAATGATTTTATCTATATGCCACTTTAATCAGAGCAAGACGGTATGAAGGTCCTTACTTGGTTATCGATAAAATTAACATAAAATTTTAGCAAAAAGGCACAAAAAGAGTGGGCATGCATGTCTTCTTCAAAAGAAGTTGTATCAAAGCCACATAGTTTGTCATATTTGATAGCTTCATAACAAGTATAGTTGTACAATCATGTCTATAGTACGATGTGGAGGTTGTGTGTTATTCTCTTAGCATATATAATTAACCCAATGTTTTGGATTTTGGTGTACGCAAAAATACTGGAGGGGGCCGGTAAGACCGGTAGGCTAATTTTCGGCGGAAATTTCACCAGTACTGGCCAAACTTTAGTCAAAATTTACAAATATTATCCAATACAAGTCAAAATCGGCCAATACCGGAGGGGACCGGTAGGACCCATATTGACCAGTTTTCGTTGATTTTTGGCCAGTATTGAGAACTATGAATTAACCACACATTGAATAGGATGCATGTAACCAGTCTCCCTTTGATCCATTAAAACATAGGGGTATGCTAAGTCCTCGGGATGGGGGAAGCTGACCGACAGACCCCTTGACCGATCCCATAGATTGTTCGGGGGCTATACCCATCGTGTACACTTGCGCGCACCCTCTAGAAAGAGTTATGCAGAGCCTAAGCACGCCCACGACCACTGCTCAGGGCTTGAGGGCTAGCCAAGTGAAAGCCCTAGTTTGGCTTTGGCTAATTGTCGACAAAAGATGCTCGGTAGTCCACTGAGGGGGCTACCCACGATGGTAGATTGATTGGTGAGGTGAGCGAGATCAGGAGCGAGACGGTGACAAGACACAAGTTTATACAGGTTTAGGCCATCAGCTTGACGTAATATCCTAGTCCAGTGTCCTGTCAGTTTGTATTGGCTATCGTATATGATTGTGTGTGTTTTGAGGGTGTCCCCTACCCGCCTTATATAGCACGGGGGTAGGGTTACATGACAATCAGGTCAGAGTCCGATTGGGTAAGAGATAATCTTTACATGGAAACATACATTCAGCATATCCTAATAGATTCTATGCGATCCTCAGGACGCTGTCGAGATGCCTTGCGACGTACGCCGAGCTATGTCATGCGTCACAAGACTTCGTCTTGTGGGTTGGACCGTCTCTATTGGTGTGGCCCATGTGCATCACCATGGGTACCCGAGGTTAGACTCCCCACAGCTAGTCCCCGAGCACCTTGTATCCGCTTGGTGACGCCATCTTGATCAAGTCCGAGCAGTTTGTCATGGAGCCGAGCAGCTTGACTGATGATCCGAGCGGTGAAAACAACAGCCGA